CCACTTCCCCACGTCCTATATAGAGCACACGGAATGTTTTCTTCATTAACGACAAGGCTCCAGGTTTTGTTATATAAAATGAAAATGAAAGTAGGCCCTTGCAATATTGCCTGGCTGGCTCGCTCAACAAGCGACAAGGTATGTGAGCGAACGGTAGCTGTTATAAAATAACAAGCTTCCAGGAACTAGTGAAGGCTATTGGTTGCTCTGGGTAACTGCGTCGCCATGGTTTTACTGCTTTGATATTTATTTTCGGGTTTGAAATTTTCCAGAAGCAATCCATTAGCTAAACCATCTTTCCTTTGTCTGAAATGTATCATTCTGGAAAATACAGAAGTTTTATAGATCAATAAACTACAGAAAATGTAATCTTAGATTATTTGATTCTTAGGTTCTTTATTGAGGTTATATCAGGTATAATTGCAGTGGAATTTTTATAGCGCCAAATGGCACTGGAAAAGGTTGTGATAAGGCAAATTTTTGGAAGAACCTGGTATTGGTCTATACAAAGGCTATCTGCTATGCTTAGACAAACTGAGGAATGTAATAAAAGCCTCAGGACAGACAGAAACATTGCTGAAATTCGAACCGTTCTTCTTCCGAATGAAATTTACTGCAGTTTAATGAGCTAGGTGTGGGATAATCATATTCGGCTCATCTTAATTGACTGAATAACCAAATCCTATGCAGCATAGTCCTTCAGAATCTAATGGTCGCTCAGCTAATACAAAATTCCACTCCTTTTGTAGAACCTGAAGGTCCATTGCCGTGTTCAAAACAGCCCGCCACCGATCCCTGTCTTAAGCCAGACAAGACCAATCCACATCCTCTGACCCTGTTCTCATAAAATCCATTTTAAAATTATTTTTCCATCTAAGTCTTTGTCTTCCGCGCGGTCTCTTCCCATCAGTCTTTCCTACCAAAATTCTGTACGCATTTATCATCTTTCCCGTGCGCACTACATGTCCTGCCAGAGTATAACAAACCTGAATTAAATTTGAAACCATATCTTCTCTGGTCATTGTCTCGCTCGGCTTCAGGAGTTGAACCCAAACACATCTGATTGGTTATACTATATCTGTAATCCCCTTGACATCACCAGTTACGTCATCATGTGCCCCGGGGACAATAATTAAACTGTAGCTGACTGAGCGTTGCGTCCCAGAGGC